AGAGAGAGAGAGAGAGAGAGAGAGAGAGAGAGAGAGAGAGAGAGAGAGAGAGAGAGAGAGAGAGAAAAACTACTCCAAGTAGTTTTAAAATGATCAACTTTATCTCTTTATTTGGCACACCTGAATCATATCAGCAACCTGATCTAGCGTCAGGTCAGGTAAAAGGTCAGTTTTGTTCATAGATTGAAGAACAGAACTTTCACCTCTCTGCTTCACCCTGAACATCAGCTTCATGGTTTTAACAGTGGCACTTGTTAAGATTTCTCATATAGTTTCATTTATGATGGAATATGGAAGAGAATCACTTTTATCATGTTGTTTATCACTTGTTCAGCTTTCAACATTGATTACTTTGTTCATAGATATAAAGGTTTTGACTGTTAACTTTTTGAAAATCAACTTTTCAAAGACAAAATTAACCATTTTATGTCCTTTAAATGGTTTTGCTTGGCATTATTTATGGAACCCTACTAAAACTTACCCAAATGATAGAATTTTAATTTTAAAATTAAATTCAGAGATCAAACTGAAGATAATCAGTGGTGGGCAGCACTAATCTAAAAATTAGTTGCATTAACCCTAAAGCACTGACTATAATATTTAGGTCCCCTAATTCTAAAGAACAAACACACTGAAAAATTTAGCAAAAGCTAATTCTAAAGCACTAAAAACCCAGCTGACCCATGGAACATTCGTTGGAGTCAATATGAAACAATATTTTCTGTGTGCAGAATATTGTTAATATTTCATCTCGTGTAGTGGTTGCCAAATTTGGGGTTGAGACCTCTTTGTGGGCCACAAATTGTCAAGTGAGATTCCCCAGATGATTTCAGACATCAATTTAAATGCAAAAAAAATGCTAATGGAATATTTTTATCATGATTTTTGCTATTTTTTTAGTAATCATAAATGAATAAAAATTAGTATTGTAGTTACTAGGTTTGTTTATAGTTATTATTCCCATGTTTAACAGGGTTATTAGCAAAGTTTGCATAAGTAAACAAGTAATATATGGGGTCACGAGTGTCTGCAACTGTTATTTTGTGGGTCGAAAGCAAAAACTTTGAAAACCACTGATCTAGTGTATAAGTGACAACACGTCTGACAGCTTTCATGCTCAGCTGTTGACAATAATGCTGATCAATAACATTTAAAGAACTAAATTAGTGCTTATAAATCTAGCCCATAAATTTATCAAGTGCTAATCCACTAATTAATTAAGAAATTAGCAAAAGCCCTAAGGCACTAATCTTAAAATTAATTCCCCTATTAGTGCTTCAGTGCTTTAGGGGAACCATGCCCACCACTGAAGATAATAATAAAATTATTCAGCTGAAAAGTGTGGTGGAAAATTAGTATGTTAATATCACTATGTACAGTATATATAATGGTAAAAAAAAAAATTAGCTCTCTGCACGCAGTTCCTCTGTGCAAGTTGACACAGTCAAACATGACAGTCTGACTTTTTAAAACGTGAAAGATAACTTTGATTGAATTGTGATGTAATCAAGGGTGCAATGTTTGTTCAGACAATGCAAAGATGAAGTGTCAGTTTACCTTGTGTCACAAGACCAAATAGATTTGAATTTAAATCACAGAGACTGGTATTCTAGAGTAAAAGACCATGTGAACTGTTCAGAGCAATGCTTAGAATGCTTTGGGATTTGATGTATTGCTCCCCTTAGAGTAAATAATAAAGTTTCTGTGAAATAAGTTGAAACATTTTGTCACATAGTCATCTATTTGTGTTAACCTGTTACCTCAAAGGAAAATAAACATTTTAACCCAGCTAAACACTTATTCTTTGTTAAGTTCCCTGTCCTTTGTCAATCATAATACTGTAGAGTCTGGAAAATGTCAACCAAAGTACAAAATAGATTAATTTACCCCAAGAAAAATAAGGTCGATGTGACCGGAATGTTCAGCCAAATCTTAGTGAAAAACAAGATGTAATCTTGTCTTCACATTGAGTTCAGCAATTTAAACAATGGGCCTCATGCAAGAACCGTTCGTACGCACAGATTTGTTCTTAAGTTGTGCGTACGAGTGATTTAGGAGAATTTGTGGCATTCACCAATGTTTTTGTATTCTAAGAATTTTTTCAGATACGAACAAAATTCATGAGTGGTCCAGACCTGTCGTCTATTTTACGAGCAGTCAGTCTGCTGTTATCCAGACTGATTTTCCTCCCTAATAACTTCATATTTCGTTAGTTTGAAGATATTTTGAGTTGAAAATAAATCACACTCCATAATTATGTTGACAACAGGCTATTCTGCTTAAATTCGAGTTATAATTTCAAATGTAATAATTTAGACTAACAATATACTGTAAATTGTCCGTCCGACCAGCTTATCAGGGATCAGGTCGCGGGGGCAGCAGCAGAGAGACCCAGACTTCCCTCTCCCCAGTGACACCTTCCATTTCGTCCTGGGGAACTCCGAGACGTTCCCAGGCCAGAGGGGAGACATAATCCCTCCAGCGACTCCTGGATTTCTCCAAAGTGCCAGACATATTTTGAAAACATTTTAAAATGCTTATTTCAGAAACGCAACTGAGACCACTTGAGACCACGCACACGGTGTGGCTTCTGAATAAATGAAAATGATTTAACACAGTTGTTTATACTTTTAGCAGCTCTTTTTATTCCACAGCTGACCTGCTAAAAATGACAGATTTTCTTTTCTGGATCTCTGACAGACGGACTTCAATCTTTGAACTTGTAAAGTTCTTCTTTTTAGTTTTCACTGTCATTTTTCATGAATGTACACTTCCTGATATCTGAGGCAGGAAACACAGCCTTTTATGGTGTTTTTGGGGTGGTAATTATGCTAATCTCCTCTCGCGTGCACGAGCAGCTGCAAGAACAGGTGGAATTTACGCAGCTCGTTTACACACTTTTCCTGAAGATAGAAGAGTTTGTTGAATCTGACGTGGCATATTCGTACGAATCCTTTGTACGAACAAAAGTAAGAGAAATTTAGGATATGAATACAAACATGTTCTTGAATGAGGCCCATTGATTGTGTATGTAGAATTACTGTATATGACCATTTTCTCAATAACAGGAAATTCCTTTCCAAGCCAGTCCGGGAAAGGTGAGCATTTGAGCCAAAAAACATGAACCCATTGTATATGCAAAGTATCATCCAATAAGAAATTTGTGTGTGTGTTGGAGACACGAACATCTGGGTCTAAATTCTAAGGCCCGTCTATTTCTGGCTGTTCGGTTCTGCTTTTGTTCCTTGTATGCTGAAGGCTGACTGTCTTTGTGAACCGGACCAATAAAACTCTCCCTCTGCTGGCCTTAAGTTCTGACTCGATTATTGACTACAACTAATAGTAAATAATAACAGAAAAGAGCCTCAACAATACCAGGTCCATTACCTCAAAGTAGTTGTTACCCACACTTTTCCCAGTTTCCATGGTGAATTTACAGGTCAGGTAATCAAGGGCCATGGAGGCGATTCCATGAGAAGCCAACAGAGCTGCTCGGTACTCCACCAACTGTCCTCCTCCACCCCACAGGTCCAGGAGACCAGGAAAAGGTCCCGGGCCTTCAGGTGAGACAGTAACAAAAACAATCATTACTTTTAAAAAAGAACTGACTTTCCTCTGCTTTTTACTTAGTTTTTCCAACAATAACTGCTGTTTATTGCTTTGAACTGTTTTCACATACTTTTATTTTTTTAACCTGCTGTTTGATGAAGTGACAAAGCAATCTATTTAAAATAAATAACCAACTTTACATCACAAAAAACATGAGGTGCTGGTTGCCTCTTTTGTAAAAGTGGAAGTAGGAGAATATGTGAAGAAATTTCTGTACGACAAACATGACCAAATCTGTGACACTGAATGAATAATCCTAATCTGATTATGAAACAATTCATAAGAATCTCAGTTTATCTCCTCCTGTTTGGTCTTTATCCACTAAGTTTTATTCTCTGCAGTGTTTCAATCTTAAACAATTTACCAGATATGACTCAGGTTCAGTCACAGAAATTATGTCTAGTTGGCCACACTTACAGTAAACATGTTTAAAGTACAAATCATTGACAAGTTTGTTTATGTGTACCCTCTTGTTAAAGAAAGAAAACCCCACAAAGGTCACTGAAATAATTTCAAACTGTCAAATGTCATAATAAGAAAAACATGACATCCATTAGAATCACTGCTTTAGGTTAAACAGAATCCCATCTACTGTATTATCTTCTGTTTAATGGGGTTAGTTGGGTCAGCTTGAGCAGAGAGGCTCAGACCTCTCTTTCAGCAGCCACCTCTTCCAGGTCTTCTGGGAGGATTCCAAGGGGTTCCCAGCCCAGTTGGGAGATGTAGACTCTCCACCATGGCCTGGGTCTTCCCCAGTTGGACATGCCTGAAGCACCTCTCTAGGCAGGTGTCTAGGATACATCTTTACCAGATGAAGCACCTCAACTAGCTCCTCTGGATATGGAGGAGTGCAGCTGAGCTTCTCCCAGATAACTGAATGTGTCACCTTAATCTCTGAGGGACAGTTCAGCTACCCTGCAGAGAACATGAATTTTGACCGCCTGTATCCTGAACCTCGTTCTTACGAAACCTTACCCAAAAATTGTGACCATAGGTTCAAGTCAGAGAGGCCGTTCCTCCTAATAATGCCCCTCCATGTCACACTGTTGTTACCCATGAGAGCATTAAAGTCTCCCTACAGAATCTTCCAGTTCCCCACTAAGGATTGAAATAAGACTGGGTTCTTTGAACAGCTCATCCGTGCATAGACACATAAGACCGTCAGAGTCATGGTTTTGTGTGTGGGGCATCAACTGTAAAATGAAATGTTTAAAAAATTCACTAACATATTTTTTATTATTTAGCTCACTTTTTTAGAGTTTAAAAATTTCCACTAAATTTATTTGTTATTTAACTCACTGTTCTTACAATAAGCAAATTTTCACTAAATGTTAAAAAAATATTTAAATATTCAATTCTAAATCTAAATGTCAAAGTTAAACCTTAAATTTTGAAGTTCACATGCTCGGCTCATGTTATGTTGACAGTGTTGTATAAAGTAGCACAAAGTGTTATGATTGAGCTTGGTTGATTAGAACCCCAAGAAGCAGAACTGAGTGAGGTGGCAAAAAGTGATTTATTAAAACAAAAACAAAGGTGCTGACGTGGCAGCAAACAAGAACAAGGGCTTTGGACAGGAATATGAACATCAAACTGTAAACAAGGATCTGACAAACACTGAAGACACTGAACAGAATATAAAGGGAAAACTAATGAGCTAAAACCAGAAACATCTGGGGAAGATACATGAGGATCATGTGTGAGTGGGTGGGGCTGGAGCATAGGCAGACAGGAGGAAGAAAACAGGTGACAAGACAGAAAACTAGAAAAAAGCATTAACAAAGACACCAATCATAACATACCCCCCCCTCCCCCCCAATAAGGGACGGCTCCTGACGTCCCAAATCAAAAGTTCAGGAGGCCAGCCATGAACCTCCCTGCTGCAGAGGCCAAAGTTAGGAGGATGACCTGGAGATCCCCACTCCACGTCCGACAAGGCCACAGGAGCTGAGCAGAGCCAGAGGGAGGAGACGGGAGCAGACGTGGAGCCAAGGGAGGAGGCGGGAGCAGACGTGGAGCCAAGGGAG